ATTTGATAATACACTTTTCACCAAAACCATTGAAAGCAATTTGTTGATTGTTTAAATTTATGTTGATGATATCATCTTTGGATCATCTAATAGTTTACTATGTGATGAGTTTGCTTCAATCATGCAAAACGAGTTTAAAATGAGCATAATGGGAGAACTTAACTTCTTCTTAGGATTGCAAATCAAACAATCACTTGATGACATTTTCATTTGCCAATCCAAGTACGTTAAAGATGTGCTAAAGAAATTTGGCTTGGAGGACGCCAAACATGCCAAAACTCCAATGAGTCCTTCCTTGAAAATTGATAAGGATGAGAAAGGCATAGAAGTGGATATCAAAAAGTATAGAGGAATGATTGGTAGCCTCTTATACTTAACGGCAAGTAGGCCGGACATTATGTTTTGTATATGCTTATGTGCTAGATTTCAATCATGTCCTAAAGAATCTCATTTAAGTGCTGTAAAGCACATTTTTAAATATCTATGTGGCACTATTAATATTGGTTTATGGTATCCTAGACACACTTCATTTGAACTAGTTGGTTACTCCGATGCGGACTTTGCTAGATACAAAATCGATAGGAAAAGCACCAGTGGAACTAGTCATCTGTCATCTTCTTGGTCAATCTCTTGTTTCTTGGTCATGCAAAAAGCAAAACTCAGTGGCTCTATCAACGGCAGAAGCTGAATACGTGCCTGCAGGAAGCTGTTGTGCTCAAACGCTCTACATTAAGCAACTTGAGGATTTTGGGCTGGTATATGATCAATTCCTATCAAATGTGACAACACAAGTGCTATATGCATCTCCAAAATCCTATTTAGCATTCAAAGACCAAGCATATTGAAATTCGATACCATTTCCTTAGAGATCATGTGTCTAAAGGCAATATCGAACTAGAATTCATTCCCACAGACAAACAAATAGCAGATATTTTCACTAAACCTCTCCATAAAGATAGATTTTGTACCCTAAGAAGAGAAATCGGGTTAACAAATGAGTCAGTTGTGTTCAAAGACCTGCCATCTCACTAATTTAGCTCCTCAGTCCAACTCAGCCGACTTAGTTTTAAACTAAGCCGACTCAGTTGTGAGCTGAGCCGACTCAGTTGTGAACTGAGCCGACTAAGTTTGAATGAAACATTGTCAAGTCTCGATTTAACTCAGCCGACTAAATTCCTAATTGAGCCAACTCTGTTTTGACGGGTCAAAGCTTTTGTTTAGGGTTTTCTCTCCTAATTCTCTTCATTTCTCCTCATCGTCTAAAGGGACTGTCACAAGAGGCGATTCCTCTCCTCTTATCTCCATCATTATCGGTAAGATTCATTCCCCTTAAAACTCTTCAATCTTTTTCCATTTGCTATTTTTATCTCTTCTGTGCAAGTTTTTCTCACTCCAACCATCCCCACACCCCCAAACCCTAACCCTCGTCATGTCTGACGAAACCCAAAGACCCCTTTGCCGTAATCCCAAGCGCTCTAGGCGTACTCATGATGATGAGTCCGGTCCTAGTCACCCAACCCCTCAACAAACCGAAGCTGAACAACTGCGAGCCATGCCAATCCCTTACAGTCGTCTTTTCAGAGGGCCAATCTAAAAGACCCTATTCGAAACCAATTTTGTAAATCGAAAGGTTGCCAAGGGCAAATGTCTTACAGAGGAGGTCTGTGATGACTTCAATCTCAATACTTACAAGTTATTCCAAAACATTGGGTTGGAACTATTTGTGAAATTGGATATTCCATATTATCCACGCATTGTAAAGGTGTTTTACACTCACCTTGAGCGAGTCGGAAGAACTTTGGATGTTCGCACCTTCCTTGGGTTCGCTACACACACATTTGGAGTGGAAGAACTTGGGGCTGCTTTGGAAATTTTTAGCGGCGGCATTAAACATTATTCTTCTCACAAATGGTATGATAGACCTAACTTTGACAAGCATGAGGCTGTGCGTCAAATTCGGTATAACAAGACTCTCACTGACATCTCCTGCATCAAAGCCAACCAGCTCACTCTCGAAGCCCGCGTCCTCCACAACATCATTACATACACATTTCTCCCTAAGTCCGGGAGTCACTCGACTGTCTCTAGAATAGAGGTGTTTCTCTTGTGGTGTGTCCTCAACGGCAAGTTGTTCGACTTTGCCGATGTTATGCTCCATCACATGCTCAAGTGCAAGAGCAAAAAGTCCAGATTTCTCTATTATGATATGCCTTTGACACTCTTATTCACAAGATGGAAATTTCCTCTTGAATTTGAAGAATCCAAATCGCTTGAGTCCAGGGACAAATTCAATCCCACTCAAATGGGACTCATGGGGCTTGAGCGGGATGAACAGGGCACCTGGTTCTACCCTAGGTAGAAAAGGTGGGAAGACGCCATCACCAGGGGAGAGGAACCAATCGATGAGGATAGTGATGCTGACAAGCCACAAGGTACTAATGATGAGGATGATCATGATTCCTTAGAGGGTGGAGATAATAATCCTCCACTTGACGAAGCTGCCATCCCATCCAATGAGCCCTCCACACAAGCTGTCTTACTGGAGCAGCTAGCTATCTCGCGTAGACTGGAAACAAAAATGGACACACTCACTAATCGTGTCGACACATTGGTCCTCAACTATGAAGAGTTGAAGGACAATCTTTCTGAGAGTCGTGGCGCTTTGGACCTCCCTCCTTTTTGATGTTGCCAAAGGGGGAGAAAGGAATAGTTGATGTGTTAAGTGTGGTCTAGCTTAGGATATCTTGATATTTTGTGGAACTTTTATTCTACTTTCCTAAATGCTAGCTGTTTTGCTTAGATGTCAATCATGTACTGATTTTCATATTAAATGAATTGACATATCTTTGGTTATATATATAATCTTATGTGCTTCATTTAAATTTGATATGGGCTTGCATAATGACAGGGGGAGATTGAAAATCTCTGTAACTCACATAACTCACAGTCCCATTATTAAAGCATGTCTTATACAATGAATTCAAATTAATGCTTATTGACAGGGGGAGCATCCTTCCAATGTTTTTAAAGAACACATCAATGTTTTGTCATCATCTAAAAAGGGGAGATTGTTGACTCTACGGATTTCTCCTAAGGGCAATCTGGTACTTTTAATGATAACAAACCATTAATGATGTTCAATGTTCTCATGTTTACATTGAAGTTTAATTCCAGATCAAAAGGATCATTGTGAGGAAGGAAGGATAATTCCAATTCATTGAAGCTGAAATCAATCTAGAATTTGTCACCAAAGCAAAATGCAACTGGCACAAGGAAATCTATGCAACTTCAAAGAACAGCAAAGCTTGCCTATGGGGTAGACAGGATGGTGAGTGACTTAGGAACAACGTAAAGAACCTGTGAGATCATTTGAAGCTCATTCTAAGATCATACATCACTCACACACTTCAAATCATCACATTCATGCAAATTAAGTTGCCAATCATTCACACTAAGCATCCAAATACTGAGGCATCACAAAACAGCAAGAAAATAGGCTAAGGGACAACTCAGCCGATTCAGTTAGCAATCCAGTTGACTCAGTTCACAGCTGAGCCGACTCAATTAACAATCCAGCCGAATTGATTAGGCCGAGGCTCATCAAGTTCAAAAGACAACTCAGCCAGCTCAATTAACAATCCAACCGACTCAGTTCACAACTGAGCCGACTCACTTTAACAATCCAGCTGACTCAATCAGCCCGAGGCTTATCACTTTCAGAACCTTGAAAATACACAACTCAGCCGACAAAGTTATTAACCGAGCCGAATTGTTCTTGAACTGAGCCGACTCAATTCTCAACTAAGTCGACTTCTTTTGTTGGTCAAACAGATATGCTATAGAAATCCTTCATCTTTCAACCCGTGCTTCACTTTATGATTTTGCAGTTTGATTCACGTGTATACTGACATGTTGACTGTCTTCTAGCTGTGTTAATGTTCTTGTCTTGAGGTCAACAGCTATATTATCTATAAAAGAGCCATACACATGATTCCAAATCTGATATCTGCCCAATGCACAGAGCACCTCTGTCAAACAAGGTATCTCTATCATAAGAAGCTTCTCTGCCAAATGTTGTTATGTCATGTCTTAATCAAGAGGAGGTTTTACAACGGCTCTTGACCAAGGAAGATGTCTATATACGCTGAGTTTAGTTGTCTGCAAAGGTGTGCTTGAGCCTCAATTTAAAACGAGCTATTCATACCATATTGCAAAGTAAAATGTTTGGCCATCCTTCATTCATTGATTCTCTAAGCTAAACTTCTGATATTTTTTCTCTCACACTTACATCATTTAAAGAGAGTGAGCTTCAATTGTATCATTTGATTCTCTAGAGAGTGTTCACTGTAATTACAAGTTGAGAGAGTGAGATATTTGTACAACACTTCTATACTTCATTGTAAGACTAAGAGAAGGAATTCTCTTAGCAAGGCTATTGTAAAGGGCTGGTTTAGCCTTAAGTAAAGACTAAGAGAGGCTGTCTCTTATCTAGAAGAAGAAAGGAATCACTTCTATTCAATGTTTGCTCTCCACCCATAGTAAGGAGGAGTCATATTGGATTGGGAAGTCTCAAGAGGGGTCTTGAGCCGAGGAGTAGGAGTTTTCGAACCTCGCTGGGTCTATGTTTGCAATTTCTCAATTTCTCCTCTTTACATTTCAATTTATACTTATGTTTATCTATTGATTTACTTAGCACAAGACTGTCATTTGCATATCTATTTAAGTTGTTAACTGTAATTGCAACACTATAAAACTTTGAATTTGCCATAGTTGGACGAGGACTCTATTCACCCCACCCCCCCTCTCGAGTCCATTCTAGGGTAACACAAGGTATCAATTTTATGTAAAGTTATGGCACTAAGCACTACACAATTGACAAAGGGGAAGAAAAAAAAGGAAGGTGGGGGGCAAGGTAAGCACAGAGGAAAGCATAGTCTTTGCAAGAAATCCTCCTAGCACAATCATTCATGAGTTATGTACCACAACAAAGCCTTCGCATGGAACCCTACAAAGCAGAAAATTGATTAATTTTGGACCGTATTAATGTTATAAACTATAGTTAATAGCTTAATTACTACCAAGAAGTCAAAAGAGAAGAATGAAAAAGAAAGTATTCATGGTTCACATCCAGCTGGCTGGACAACGGGCACTCTAAAGAGTTGAGACTTCGTAATTCGTTAAGCCACCGAAACTATCTCCAAGGTCTCTCCTACAAGGAAACTAGACATGGAAAGAGAGAAGATTCATAATGATTTTTTCAGCCACTCTTCCAGGGCAGTCTAAAATTATCAATGATGTGTAAGAGGAGGGCATTCAAAATGGAACATCAATTGTATATATATAATCCCAATACCTTTCAATGCAGGAGTCCAGCTATCAAAACAGCAAACATAACTTAGAAAACTGCCAACACCTCCTCCAGATAGAGTGGGCAAATGATGTAGCAATAACTGTACTTAAAACCAAATAGTAATGTTGTCCCCAAGCTCAACAATGTTCATCAGAAAAATTTAGAATCCTGCCAGATTCAGATACACGACATTGTTGCATGAAATTATTACAATCAAAATGAAAACCGAAATGATAAGCAAAAAGGAAAAGAAGACACTTCTTTACTTGAAAGGCAAGAATAATTAATTATCAATACTCGAAACTGTAATGTAGCGGAGACAGGATTTGAACCCGTGATCTCAAGGTGATGACCTTGCAAGCTACCAAAATGCTCTACTTTGCACTGAAGAGAGTAGACAAACAAGAATTGAATGTACCCCTCTACTATTCCAATAATTATCAAAGAGAAACTTTCAAAATCAATCACTGGAATCTAGTAACCCTAGTTCAAAATCAATCATTGGAATCTAGAATCATTATTAATTATACCTTTCAATGAGAAACCGTTTCTCATATCTGATTATAATCTCACCAACCTAAAATGGAAAAATTGAATATCAAATTCACTTACATTTTATATACATGCATACATGTTTGAAAAACTAACCATATAAATATGATATATTGCCACTAATAATTCTAAGAAAATATTAGATAAATTCAAGAAATCAACAGAAGAATCTTACAGTAATCAAAGCAAAACAGTGGAGAATTTATAATTGGTACAGAAATAAGGGACTGAACACACATATTCATATTCAGATTCCTGTGGTATATGTGTCTATATAGAGAACGGGAACACTGACACTAACGATTGACCAATATACAGAGGTTGTGGTGGGGGATTTGGAGTGTTGTTTAGAGTTAGGGTTAGGATTTGGGAAGGGGGTGGGAAGAGGATGGTTAGGGCTTGTAGAAAAGGCTAGTAAATAGTCACATTATTGAGAAAGATAAATATATGATGGTTCATGCCTGGCGGCTCGACAACAGGCACTCCAAAGAGTTCAGCCTTTGTACTGTTAAAACAAAGAAACCGTGATATCCCGACCAAAAAAAGGGGCAAAAAAAAAAAACAAAAAAAAAAAACATGTTAACAGACATCATAACAGCGAATTCCATATACAATAGATATATATATAGAACACCCAATGCTGGATCAATTGGGGGTGGAAGAAATCCACTGCTCCATCTGTTCATCCCCGAAACTGTCTCCAGGGTGGTTCATACACATCTATTCAATCATTTTACTACTACTTTTAGCTGGATATCACGTTCATAAAAATCTCCATTTTGTTTCCCGGGGCCTCTAGTGAGTTACAGGCATCTATCACGATAATAACTCATGAATCAAAAACTCTTAATTGGTGTTTTTCTTATCCTCGTATTTTGCAAAAACTCATGAATCAAAAAATGGAGAGTTGATATGCCAAAGCTGACAACTGAAATTCCAGAGTGCCCTATCAGAGAGAGAAGAGCTACAGACAAATATAGGGATGACAGATCAAAAAAAAAAAAAAAAAAAGGGAATGGGGTGTGAAAGGAAAGAAAGAAAAGTTGACAAAAGACTAAAGACTGAGGTCGATTCTCATTCTGAGTTCCAAATGTTGCCAAGTATTCTCTGCCTAGGTATAACATTAAAATTATGGAATTTGGTCAACAATACTAAAAATACCAACCCCATACTAGGAGTTGGGGTCATTGAATAGCAAGTGGCCCCACACAACTACCGGCGGTCTAATTCAAAGTTTCTTCATTGTGTCTAGGGTAGGGGGAAAATGCAGAGAAGTATCAAATATTTTCTCTATGTTTAACCATGCAGAATTAATCTCAAAATTTTCACACACCATCCATGCAGGAGCTTTACTTAAGCGTCTTTATGTAAACATGTAAATAAACTAGATGCAAGCAAACAATGGAAACAATCTGACAGCAACTCCACAAAGAAAAAAAAGAAACAGAAAAATGATAAGAAGCTTCTTACAAGATTTCAACCTCCTAAGGAAATAAATCATTATTCTTTGCCTCACCCACTCCTCTCCAACATGGAAAAACAAGTTCCTTCACATTGCAGGAGTATGTTAGAAAACATAACTGATTTAGTCATATAGACAAGTTAAATGCGGGCAGTCAAGCTATACTACACTTAGCACAACCCTCCTCTTTGGAACTGGTGTGCAACGATAATGCACTAAGCCCAAAATACGCAGAATTACCTCATGAAAGAAAGAAAGCACAGAGCACAGCATAGTCTTTGCAAGAAACCCTTCGAAGCACAACCATTCATGAATTATGTACTACGGCGAAGTCTTCACATAGAACCCAACAAATCAGAAAATTCATTAATTTTGGACCGTATTAATGTCATAAAGTATAGCTAATAGCTTAATTACTTCCAAGAAATCAAAAGAGAAGAATGAAAAAGAGAGTATTCTTGGTTCACATCCAACGGGCTGACTTTATAATTCGTTAAGCCACCTAAACTAACTCCAAGGCCTCTCCTACAAGGAAATTGACATGGAAAGAGAAGATTCATAACGAATTTTTCAGCCACTCTTCAAGGACAGTCTAAAATCATCAATGATGTGTAAGAGGAGGGCTTTCAAACTAGAACATCAATTGTATATAGATAATCTCGATCTCCACACAGGAGTCCAGCTATCAAAACAGCAAACATAACTTAGAAAACAGCCAACACCTCCTCCAGATAGAGTGGGCAAATGATGTAGCAATAACTATACTTAAAACCAAACAGTAATGTTGTCCTCAAGCTCATCAATGTTCATCAGAAAAATTAAGAATCCTGCCAAATACACAGCAATACAACATTGTTGCAATCATATGGTAGTCGTCATAAACAAATAAATGAAGATTGAGTAATCATATGGATAGGTAAAAATAACAGTAGAAACATTATTAACTGCACAAAGAACACAGATATGACTGGCACCAACTCTATAAATTTCTTTCTTATATCCTACTCCTAGTCATAATATTACAGAGAGCAAAGAATAAGAAGCAAAACAAATCCAGGAAAGTGCTCTAAATATTGCTCATGTTTTTGTTCAACCATGGAACTGCAAACAAAAACTAAGCTGCAGCTTTAGCATACAATAGGAAAGTATAGATAAAAGGATTCACATCAACACTATGTTTTAGCATAGAAAATAAAATTGTATATAATAGGAAGAATACAAGACATATCACCCAGAGATCAATCAAAAAGGGAAGAACTCAGAGATAATTACAAAATTAAAGAACAAATTAACAAGAATCAACAACTGAATTTATAGCATAAACCCTGAGTCGATGCTTCCATAAAACAAGATGCCCGTAAACCCGTACTATCACAAATAAGATTCTTCACAACTATACATACAAAAACTCTCAATTGTGGGGCATAGACTCAATGGAATCCCATATTCCACCCATTCCAAAACAATTTCTAGATATTGTATGTTTACGAAGAACAAGCTGCAAGAAGATTTAATTCTTGCAACACATCATCCATATCTTCCACATAAAACACAAGTTATAAAGCTAAAAAACTAAGGCTAAAATTCTTGACTGAAACAAAAAAACACACAGAAAATGAGATAAGATATATACAAAAGAAATAATGTCCATATCTTTCTGTTGAAATTATTCTCATGAAACCTTAACCACAAAAGAAATAACATAAATACTCAGATAGAAAGTAATCTTAGTTCCTCTCAAGTATGAGGAACGACATACTCTTTGGATCCTGCTAATGAAATGGCTCTGTATGAAGAATTGACAAAGAGGGAGAAAAAAAAAAAAAAAAAAAAAAATCAGACAGAGCAGAGCATAGTCTTTGCAAGAAACCCTTCAAGCAAAATCATTCATGAGTTCTGTACCACAGCGAACCCTTCACATAGAACCCTACAAAGCAGAAAATTCATTAACGTTGTAAACTATAGTTAATAGCTTAATTACTTCCAATAAATCAAAAGAGCAGAATTAAAAGAAAGTATTCAAGGTTCACATCCAGCTGGCTGGACAAAGGGCACTCTAAACAGTTGAGACTATGTAATTCGTTAAGCCACCAAAACTATCTCAAAGGTCTCTCCTACAAGGAAACTAGACATGGAAAGAGAGACGATTCATAATGATTTTTTCAGCCACTCTCCTAGGACAGTCTAAAATCATCAACGATGTGTAAGAGGAGGGCTTTCAAAATAGAACATCAATTATATATATATAATCCCAATACATTTCAAACACAGTAGTTCAGCAATCAAAACAGCAAACATAATTTAGAAAACTGCCAACACCTCCTCCAGATAGAGTGGGCAAATGATGTAGCAATAACTGTACTTAAAACCAAATAGTAATGTTGTCCCCAAGCTCATCAATGTACATCAGAAAAATTAAGAATCCTGCCAGATACACAACATTGTTGCATGAAATTTTTACAATCAACATAAATAAATAAATGAAAACTGTAATGATAAGCAAATAGGAAAAGATGACACTTCTTTACTTGAAAGGCGAGAATACTTAAGGAATTAGTTATTAATATTGGAAACTGTAATGTAGCGGAGACGGGATTTGAACCCGTGATCTCAAGGTGATGACCTTGCAAGCTACCAAACTGCTCTACTCCACACTAAAATAGACAAACAAGGAGTGAATGTACCCCTCTACTATTCTAATAATAATCAAGGAGAAACTTTCAAAATCAATCATAAAAATCTAGAAACCCTAGTCGCCTTCAATACAGTGATAATACACACAATTGCAGATGTAAAACACACAACATATATAGTAAAAAAATTGAAGAATCATTATTAATTTTACCTTTCACTGAGAAACCATTTTTCTCAGAACTGATTATAATCTCACCAACCTAACATGGAAAAATTGAAATTCATTTTCATCTTCTGGATAACCAGCACTGAAAACCGTCCTTACATTGGATGGTTTGGTGTTGTGATGATCCCTACCTTATTGACCGCAACTTCTGTATTTATTATCGCCTTCATTGCTGCTCCTCCAGTAGATATTGATGGTATTCGTGAACCTGTTTCTGGATCTCTACTTTATGGAAACAATATTATCTCAGGTGCCATTATTCCTACTTCTGTTTGAAAGTATTATGAAACTTATAGATGTACTTACATGCATGCATGTGGGACTGAACACACAAATATGCATATTCAGATTCCTGTGATATATGTGTCTGTATAGAGAAGGGGAACACCAACACTAAAGACTGGCCCGGTGGGTAGGGGTAGGGGTAGGAAGAGGATTGAAGGGTTGTGGTGGGGGTTAAGAGTTGTGGTTAGGGTTAGGATTTGGGAGAAGGGGTAGGAATAGGATGGTTAGGGTTTGTAGTGAAAAGCTAGAAGCATGTGTGACCTATATAGATAGATAAAAGAAGGGGAACCCAAACACTAACGACCAATTTCCAGTGGGTGGTTGTGGTTGGCGTTTGGAGGTTAGGGTTAGGGTTTGGGAGAGGGGTAGGAAGAGGATTGAAGGGTTGTGGTGTGATTAGGATTAGGGTTTGGGAGAGGGGGTAGGAAGAGGATTACAGGGTTAGGGTTTGTAGTTAATGGCTAGAAAAGGCAGAGACGTGTGGATATTAGGGTTTACCTTCTGTGGATTTAGGAACGAGAGGCGTTTGGAGGAGATGCGCCGGTGGAAGAGAGGAGAGAGAACCAACAGGGTTAGACAGCGATCGCGATCGCCATCAATCGACTCGGAAGCCTTTCTTCATTCTGTCACTCTCTGTAGTTATCGACTCGGGCAGTTGAGGACCCTTTACTTACCATTGGATTATATACGGCTTTCTTTTTGCACGGGTAATGCTTGTTTTTAAAGCTAATTTTTAAATACGGACTACACAACACTTCTAAAATTTTTGGGTAAAATGCAAAAAAAATTAAACCTAACCTACGAGGGTTTTGTAACTAACCCCTTAATTACAAAAAAATCTCCCTCAACTTGAATTTGTTACAATTTGCCCACTCAGATCATCGGAAAAGAAAAAAAACAAAGTTGCCCTTCCAATAATATGACGCAGTTTGACAAACAATATCAAACCAACTACAGACCTTCTTCCTATTTGCAGATCCAAAAACACTCTCTCTCTACTCATTTATGCCCAATTGTGCTACCACCCAAATTCATCATCTCACCAACAACAACCTTCGTCATTAAATCAAACCTTGAACCCCCTCCACGTCATCTCTCGTTCCCCTTTCTTTCCCTAAATTACAGACACTGATGGTGAGCTTGGTTTTGGAGTCGATGAATTCGGCCATGGACTCGGCCAATTGAGAGAAGCCTCCGGCATCCATCTAAAGCGAATCATCCTTGAGGTTGCGGGAGCAGTTGGAAGAGGTGATGAAGCAGTTAAAGAGTTGGATGTTGAGGTAGATAATCCCGGATTCAGATCGGGATTGGAGGTTGAAGAGGTTGGTGACTCAGTCCGAGTCCGACTCGGAAATGACAGTTTTGAAGAGAGTGGTGAGAGTTATGAGGAAGAATATGAGATGGGTGAAGGACGATTACAGATATGTGAGAGTGCAGAGAGAGAAACTTAGTTACTATCGCCCCCGCCAGATCCGGCCAATCAAGAACCCAACACTCGGTCAGTCGAGACTCACAGGAACTACACAAACGGAGCTCGCTGCTGGGTCAGTCCAGGCTCACGTTGGATTTCATGTAAGTCAAAGCCCAGAGCTCTCGCCGGTTTTCATCGACGTCGAAGCTCAGAGCTTGCTGGAACAACACGTTAATTTGGGTCCTTGAAAATTAGCCAGTGAAGTCGCTTAAACTTTTGTCAATTTGGTTGTTGATGCTTAAGCTTCTCGCCTATCTACCAACAATCTTCCTCCCTATCTAAAAAATTTATCCACCTCTCTAATCCCCTTCCCCTTTCTCTCTTTCTGTTTTTCTTTTTCTTTTTTTTTTCCTCCCAAATTCATCTCAATTCTGGCGCTAACAAAAAATTAATTAAGAACTATTTAAATTAGACAGGTATAGGATACTGATTCTGAAAAATCAGACCTTCTATATGTATGGAAACTGATTAAGAAAGAATTAAATTCCAATTTGAAATATGAGATATTGATTTGTTCTTAGTCCAATTTTGGCGCCCCGATCATCTTTCTCCATTGACGAAACCCTTACCAAGATGCACAGCTGATTAGCACGAAAGCACGATGCATGGCTGATTGAAAACGAAGACAAACCCTAGAAGTTACAGTTGTCAATTTGTGTGATACCCCTCGGATCCGAGACACGGGTTGATCAGGCCCAGGCCCAAACCCGAGGGAAATATCAAACAATTAAAGTATTTTAAAGCGAACACATAATATAAAGATTTAAGAATTTAAATTACAAAGCTGAAAGAATTAAGAAATTTAAATCCTCCAAATAAAACTGAATAATAATACTCCAAATCCAAAACCTCTATGAGTACAACTTGAGAATCCATCTAGTGGACCCCTAAATAAAAATGTCAACTGAACTGGAAAATAAAACTAAGCTAGATCATAAAGAAAAATCATATGTAATCTGATGAATGAGAAACTGTCCTCAACCAGCACGATCAAGCTCTAAGGCTGGAACCGTCCTATACCTGAAAAGAATAGAAGAGTGGGTCAGGCCCACGAACAAAAATCTAATCTAACTGCAATCCATACAGTGACCTGATACGCAGATACACCCTAAATATCCTCACAATAGCTATCTAGTCCATACGTATATATATGTAATACCCCTAATTTAAAACAAGATAGGTTTGGAATTTATTTTATTATTTTAAGTTGAATTTTAATCATTTAATTGTTTCTTTGAAGTGTTTGATAATTATTTAATTATTGTAATTAGTTATTTGGTTAGTTGATATGGTTGTTATTTGTTTAAATTGATGGTTTAGTTGTTAGCGTGACTGGATTTAATTATTTCAAATTTAATTGTTTAATTGTTTGTTACTTGTAACTGTGTTGTAGTTAATTTTTCTTATTCTAAGTTAAGTTGTTAATTGTCTTTAATTGTTTAGTTATGTGTTTAATTGTAATGGTGTTATATTTAATTCTTTATTGTAAATTTAAATTGGTAATTGTCTTGATTTAATAATTAGGGTTAAATTGGTAATTGTCTTGATTTAATAAGTAGGGTTTTACTTTTAATCAGTTTGTAAGCCGTCGTAGGTTTCTCAGTATGTTGGATGGGCCGGTTAGGATTTCAGTTGGGGCTTGAATTAATTTAGGGTTTAGTAAAATCCTATAAATATATGTTAGATGTTTGGTTAGGGTTTTAGAAACATAACAAAACCAAGTATACGACTGTGGAGACAAAGGAAGAACAGAGAGCGTTCACGTTGGTTTTCGTCGGAACTTTAGAGACGACGTAGAGATTTTTGGACAAAGATCTCAAAGGCAAGTTCTAACCTTACTCTCTCCCTTATACTCGTGTTCTTTGCATACTCAATAGTTCCAGGATGAATTACATGTTTAAAAATAAAAACGTTATCTGTTTTCATGTTTAGAGTTTAACTGAAACTGAATTTGTTTTAAAATTGTTAAACTGGTTAACTTTGAACTTTCTTGTGTTAATTCTTGGTTTAATCCATATTAGTAGCATAATAAGGACTGAATTAAGGGTTGGAATTTTCTGGGATTAAGTTAAACTCTTTGAAAACCTATACTGTGAAGTGTCGGAGGCGTAAACGACGACTGGATAGGAGAACATGAAGAAGAGGAGGGAGAGAGCCGGCTCTCCTTAGATTGGAGGCGGCTCCAATATTCTGGAGCCGGCTCCAGGTTGTTTTCTACGTGGTTTTTGGTTCTGTTGTTTGTTTTTCCACTTTTCAGTTATTAAGCTTCATAGTGATTGTTTTACTATGTTTTAATGGAGAATGAATACTGTAATGGATGGTTTAAGAGTGATCTAGAGTAAACATAAATATTCAAAGATCAGATTAACATAGAATTGGACACAAAGCATTAATCATTAGGATTACATGGAGTTAATTACAAATGTCTTGTAGACTTGTGTGGATTTGGAGTTTAACTTCTAGATTATAATGGAAAATTTCCTGTAAGAGTTTGTGCACTGCTAATTGCAAATTCTTAGAATATACATACATACAATGAATCTGTATTTTTGCTAAAGATTAATTGATGATTAAACTTAACATTTAATTCGTCAATTTTGTTGAATAGGAACTTAACAGTATGATAAATTGTCTAGATTTATTATGCATGCCATGGAAATAAATATTGTAACATTTGTTTAAGCTCTGTTAATTATGGATACCAGGAATAAACTTATATTTACAGACACAATCCTGTGGGTGATCAGGTAATGGCTTATTGTTGGATTAATTAAGCATGTTTTTCTAGTATACTTTAATGTGCTCAGTTTGGAACTGTGGGTTTTGACACTGATACTGTTAGTACTTAATCAATGGTTGGATTTATTAAAGCATGATGGTTAATCTATTCTAACATGGTTAGGTTGGAATTGTTGGTTTTGGCATTTATAAATTATTTAAATGTATGGAATAGAGTAATTAATATTGATATTTATGTTTCCAATGTTAATCAATTTGTTGGGACTATTCAAGAACGGTTGTTAATACATTCTGATTTGCTTGATATGGACTCGTTGATATTGTTATATACTTGTATATGCTTTATCAACTATTGGACGGATGGGATTGTATGTACCGGTATGGGACGGTGACATACTAGGTTTGGACAGCACAAATTGTTAAGTCCTGCCTATTTTGGAGTAAGGGCACGGGTTATAAAATACAATCCTCCTTATATATATAAGTCGGTACGGTTGAATACGCCGAGTGACTTACTGGATTTCTTGTGGATGGTTAGTAACGGAGTTTAGATATATTTTTATGTTACCGTGTCATGAGCTTGAGTCTCAGTGTCGACGGTTAGGGTGCGTATATGCAGTTGGATGTGTAGCTGACTGTGAAGGTTGAGGTATACTCTGTTTAGGTTTAGGTACTCATGCCCACTCAGGTGCGTATTGTGTGATGCCTTCTATCCAGGTTGAGACCCTCTTCATAGCCTAGCGAGAGTCCAGTAGTGTGGATATATTTATGTACGGATTATTAGTTATTGTTGAACTATTTAGTATGTACATGCGTATCGAGTCTCTGCTTGGATTGTAGTAGGATAGAACTTGTTCGTGGGCCTGACCCACTCCTATTTTTCAGGTGTACGTCAGTTCCAGGCTTGAGCTTGTTCGTGCTGAGCAGAGACGATCTTCCATTCTACCGACGATGTAGGATTTCTTTCCAGATCTTGGATTTGGATTTTATCTTCCATTTTACTTTCATTCAGTGTGAGATTTTTATTAGGGGTCCACTAGAGATGGATTCCCGAGTTGTTCAAATTATGGATTTTTAATTTATCAGATTTAAGTATTTAATTATTTAAGGATTATCTTTTCAGCTTTAAACTTTTATTCTTAAATTCATATTTTTGTATTCTGTGTTCGTTATAACTTATTAATTGTTTGATATCCCTCGGGTTTGGGCCTGTGCTTGATCAACCCGTGTCTCGGATCCAAGGGGTATCACAATATATATCTACACTAAGGACATTCACTAGACTATAATAGGGGTCTCAACCAGAATAAAAGGTAATATGCGAAAAAACATCCAAAGGTGATCATGAGTACCTAGACCTAACAGGGTACACCTACCTACTATATCCAGCTATGCATCCACTGTATATACGCACCCTAACCAACGAGCCTGAGACTATAATCATATATCTAAAGTCCGTCCGAAACCAGAGTATGTCATACAATTATTCATTGAGGAGACATATAAAACACAGTCCAGATAATCACTCAACTTATTCAGCTGATATGACTTAACTATAACCAATTAATCCAGGAAGTCATTCAACTTAGCCAGTTGATCTGACTTAAACACAAATAGGATTCAATAATTTACAATCCATTCCTTTAATCCGGTAGGTTAGGTCTTAGCGTTGTGTGATACCCCTCGGATCCGAGACACGGGTTGATCAGGCCCAGGCCCAAACCCGAGGGAATATCAAACAATTAATATTTTATAACGAATACAGAATACAAAATGAATTAAGAAATGAAAGTTTAAAGCTGAAAAGAAAACTAAAAGAAAATCCTTAAATAATTAAATACTTAAATTTGATAAACCAAATATCCATAATTTGAACAACTCGGGAATCCATCTCCAGTGGACCCCTAATAAAAATCTCACACTGAATGAAAGTAAAATGAAAGATAAAATCCAAATCCAAGATCTGGAAAGAAATCCTACATTGTCGGTAGAATGGAAGATCGTCTCTGCACAGCACGAACAAGCTCAAGCCTGGAACTGACGTACACCTGAAAAATAGGAGTGGGTCAGGCCCACGAACAACTTCTATCCTACTACAATCCAAGCAGAGACTCGATACGCATGTACATACTAAATAGTTCAACAATAACTAATAATCCGTACATAAATATATCCACACTACTGGACTCTCGCTAGGCCATGAAGGGGGTCTCAACCTGGATAGAAGGCATCACACAATACGCACCTGAGTGGGTATGAGTACATAAACCTAAACAGGGTATACCTCAACCTTCACAGTCAGCTACACATCCAACTGCATATATGCACCCTAACCGTCGACACTGAGACTCAAGCTCATGACACGGTAACATAAAAATATATCTAAACTCCGTTTCTATCCATCCACAAGAAATCCAGTAAGTCACTCGGCGTATTCAACCGTACCGACTTATATATATAAGGAGGATTGTATTTTATAACCCGTGCCCTTACTCCAAAATAGGTAGGACTTAGCAATTTGAGCTAATCCAAACCTAGTATGTCACCGTCCCATACCGGTACATACAATCCAATCCGTCCAATAGTTGATAAAGCATCGTTAATAATAACAACAATATCAACAATTCCATACTAAACATAATAGAATGCATTAGCAACCATTCTTAAAAATACCAATAATTGATTCACATTGAAAATATAAATATCAATGTCAACTACTCCCTACTATACATATTGAAATAGATAATCAACATGCTTATTTACATTCACAGTTGATAAAATAATGACCATATAAATGTCAATACCAACAGTTCCAAACTAAACATGTTAGAACAGATTAACAAACATGCTTAAGTACCCCAATTCAGAATCCATAATTTGATCATACAGGGCTTTATTTGTAATTATGACCTATTCCCAGTTTCCATAGAATTAACAGAGCCTAAATAGATATTTTTCCACTCAAATCCATAGCATGCAAAATAAATATAAGTAATCTATTATACTTATAGTTTCCTGTCCAACAACTTGCCGCACTAACCGTTAAATTTAATCATTAACTAATTTTCAGTGAAATATACATTTTTAGCATAATTTCTATTTCCATGAACATATAATTCGAGTGGACAAGCTCTCACAGAAAATTTCTAATATAATTAAGAAATTAGAAACTCCAAATCCACACAGTCTACAAGACATTCGTAATTAACTCCATGTAATCCTAGTGATTAATGCTTTGTGTCCAATTCTATGTTAATCTGGTCTTTGCATATTTACGTTTACCCTAGACCACTCCTAAACCATCCATTACAGTATTTATTCTCCACTAAAACATATTAAAACAATCACTGGGAAGCCTAATCACTGAAAAATTGGAAAAACAACCAACAGAACCAAAAACCCACGAATAAACAACCTGGAGCCGGCTCCAGAATATTGGAGCCGCCTCCAATGGCCCTGGAGCCGGCTCCTAGACCATTGGAGCCGCCTCCAGTCCAAGGAGAGCCGGTTCCAATCCAATAGGAGCCGGCTCTCTCCCTCCTCTTCTTCGTGTTCTCCTCTCCGGTCGCCGTTTACGCCTCCGATACTTCACAGTATAGGTTTTCAGAGAGTTTAACTTAATCCCAGAAGATTCCAACCCTTAATTCAGTCCTTATTATGCTACTAATATGGATTAAACCAAGAATTAAACAAGAAAGTTCAAAGTTTAAACAGTTTACAATTTTAAAGCAAATTCAGTTTCAGTGAAACTCTGAACATGAAACAGCTAACGTTTTTAGTTTTTTTTTAAACATGTAATTCATCCTGGAACTATTGAGTATGCAAAGAACACGAGTATAAAGGAGAGAGTAAGGTTAGAACTTGCCTTTGAGATCTTTGTCCAAAAATCTCTACGCCGTCTTCTACGATCTCCGGCGATTCCTCCTACAACTTCCTCTGTTCCTCGTTTTTAACTCCACAGACGTGTTTTGGTTTTATTATTTTTTCCTAAGCAGACTTATCTTATATATTTATAGGCAACCAAAACCCTAAGTCCAATTACATCTAAAGGCTGAAACGCGGCCCATAAACACAACCTAGTTTATAAACCCTGTCGGCGCATTACATTAAACCTAAACAGAACTAAAACCCTAACCACACTTTTATACCTAGTCATAAATTAAAACATGTAATTACTAATTCAATTAAAGTAACAATAAAATTCCAAATTAACGTAAAACAGAAAATAACATACAATTTACAAAAAATTAAAGCCAAATAAATAATTAAAACAATTAACTTAAATAATCACAATTAATGTACATAAGTCAAATAATTAGTTAAACCAAAGAAAACAAATAAACCAACTAATTAATTCAAATAACGCAAATAAGTCAAGAAAAGCAAATAATTAAAAAGTCAATTAAAACATAATTCAAAACAATTAATGAACCAAAAACAATTAATGAATAGAAAACAATTAAACAAAGTACCGAGACTATCCTTTTGAAAATTAGGGGTATTACACGTTGTGAGCTAAACCGTCCCCTAGTATGCCACCGTCCCATACCGGTGCATACAATCCTCCATATCCATGTAAATTACAATATTTAAATAATAATCTAGTAATTTACAGTCCAAACTATAATCCACAAATTTGCAGAAAAATATTTAATATTCTCGCAATTGAAATCCAAACCATAATCCATTTAATTGCAGAAAAATATTAAGATTTCAACAATTAACCTCCAAAGCATGCATAAATCAAATTCAATACATCCATGAGCCTATAATGCATTTAGAACAAGTTTTATAATCATGCGTGTTTCCATTAAATTGCTAAAATTTAGTTTAAGCAATTAATCTCTTCCATCCGGTAACAGTCTAACATAATTACACTAATTTGATACTGTTTGTTCCAAGTACTTAAAACTGAATTTTAATTAATTTAAAGTCTTAATGATATCCAAAACCATCTTCCTAATCACTTTGTACAGTCCCAAAATAATTAGAATAGCTTCCATGCTCCAAACAGTAACAAACAGTTCGTAAAATATATATATATATATATATATATATATATATATATATATATATATATATATCATGGCACGCACAGAGAAGATAAAATTGGAACGATACAGAGAAGATTAGCATAGCCCCTGCGCAAAGATGACACGCACAAATCGAGAAATAATATCAAAGCCTGACCTAGCCGGAAGTGTGCCGACGGGGACGTCGGGCCTCCAAGGGGGTGGATTGTGATGACCTTATGGGCGGGTGTGTCGTGGGCGGGTGCAAGAGACAATGATACCCCTTAATTTCGAAACACGGGTTGATCAAGTCCGCGCACAAAATCAGGAGATATCAAAACAATTAAAGTATTTCACACAAGCACAGAGTACAAAAATGAAATAAAAGAATAAGTAATACACTGAAGAAAAACTAATAAATAAAAATTTCCATTAATAACTCTCAATGGTTACAATCGGGAATCCCCGTAACTCAAGAACCCCTTAACCAAAATCCACTATCCATAAATCCATTAATAATTACTGAAGTAATAATATCCTACTTTGAAATAAAATAGAAAGAATAGATAAGTCCTCCAGCTGCGGATCCTTAACCTTGTGACTTGACTTCTAATAATCTGAAAAACAAATCGTGGGTTAAACTCTATGAGCAAGCTCTTTCTACCAGGCTTCTGAAAACCAATAAGCAGATCATCTCTGATCAAAACCAAACCCAATAAAGTTTTAAGTTTAATAAAGATACATATATGTATAAATAATTATATACAATATAACCTTCACATCCACTAATAAGTCATTAATTTTCAAAACCATTAAATCAAGATTAAAACATAATCCTACTTAAACCAATCCACAATCTCTTTCTCTTTTAAAGAGAAACCTTTTAACCCTAATTTCATTTTAAATAATTATTTAATCATTTAACTAATAAAATATAATTCAAGAAAAATTATATTTAATCCAAAAGCCATTAATAAATTTAATTATTTAAACCATATTATTGTATTAATATATATAAAATAATACCGTAACATGTAACTAATAGATTATTATAATTTAGGAATATCTAATCTTAATTCAACTTATACATACAGTATGCATAGATGAATTTTAATCATCTAATACACATAGCAATTTAATTATACTTTAGCAAATCAACCATACCATTATAAATATATTTATTTATATCTTAGCAATTCAACCATGCTTCCTTCAGTGTCTTTATTTATACCTTAACAATTCAACCATGCTTTCTCCAGTATAATTATTTATACTATTAATTAGCAATTCATCCATACTTCCCATATATAAAATTTATTCCTAAATAATAAGGCCATTTATTTAAGCCTTTGGCAACTTATCCATGCCTACCATTTGACCATATACCAAACCTTAAAATCAATTGAACCATCAATCAAACTATACATAGGCATTCCGTGCATATTATAAGCATATAATTAATTTAACAACCCGCCTATCAAGATATATCAGATAATAATAATTATACATACACACACACACACACACACATATATATATATATATATATATTTGATATAAATATAGGTACAACACCTTCCATAATAACCCTTGACTATTAAAATAATATATATATATACACATCAATACACACACACACACGTATATATATACACGCCCTTCCTTACTAATCATTAATATATATATATATATATATATATATATATATATATATACATACATATAATATATTAATTCATATATATATCCTATATTAATTAATTCATAACTATTAAAATAATATATATATATATACACATCAATACACACACACACACACACATATATATACGCCCTTCCTTACTAATCATTAAGATATATATATATGTTAATGATTAGTAAGGAAGGGCGTATATATATGTGTATATATATATGTTAATGATTAGTAAGGAAGGGCGTATATATATGTGTGTGTGTGTGTGTGTGTATTGATGTGTATATATATATATATCATTTTAATAGTCAATGGTTATTATGGAAGGTGTTGTACATATATTTATATCAAAAATATATATATATATATGTGTGTGTGTGTATATGTATAATTATTATTATTATTTGATATATCTTATATGAATTAATTAATATAGGATATATATATATATGAATTAATATATTATATGTGTATATATAAATATATATTAATGATTAGTAAGGAAGGGCGTATATAAATGTGTGTGTGTGTGTGTGTGTGTATTGATGTGTATATATATTATGGAAGGTGTTGTACATATATTTATATCAAAAATATATATATATATATGTGTGTGTATATGTATAATTATTATTATTATTTGATATATCTTGATAGGCGGGTTGTTAAATTAATTATATGCTTATAATATGCACGGAATGCCTATGTATAGTTTGATTGATGGTTCAATTGATTTTAAGGTTTGGTATTAATATATATATATATATATATATATATATATACACACACACACACACACACACATATAATATGTTTATAATATGCACGGAATGCCTATGTATAGTTTGATTGATGGTTCAATTGATTTTAAGGTTTGGTATGAATATATATATATATATATATATATATATATATATATATACATATAATATATTAATTCATATATATATCCTATATTAATTAATTCATATATATACATATAATATATATACATATGTATATATATGAATTAATTAATATAGGATATATATATATATATAATGGTATTTAATGTGCATACCTATATATAATCACACACTTCCTTCCATTCCCAACTATAAATTAAATATAGGTATGCACATCAAATACTATATCGACACTCTATGGCTCTCAAAACACCATGAACGCATCCATCAGTGGTTATTTTCAACCCTAACAGTTTAAAAATCAATTATGTGAAGACACTAGACCCCACAGAAACTTTCCGGGACCCCAAACACTGCCTCACGCGCCACCACACACTCCTAGACTTACTGCACGGGCCTCCACGCGCCACCAGTCGCTGGCTGTTGTCCTCACGCGTCTGATTTGGCCCCTTGCGTGTGCTGGCCTCTCCTCATTGGTTACCTCATCTTGTCATGGTGAGCTCGTCCACACTGAATCTCCATCCACCCATTAGAAGATATCCAGTGGTTAGATCATGCAGGCACACCATCTCTTCATGGACCGCGCCGCATCAGATCGTTTCGCCGTTGATTGGACCTTACCAATGGTCCAGATCTGTTGTACACCCATATTCTATGTGCCGCACCATATCATAATAATTTTTGATCATCAGGACCATCTAATGGTCCTGATTTAAGTGCACCAAGGTGCTGTACACCTTGCCGCACCAAATTCCAGCCTCTTGTGAATGCGCTGATTCCCGTAATGCTCCAGTTATATGTATTAACCCATAAATTATATAAACATAATATATATTTTACACACAGTTATAAAAAAAAAATTCTAAAAACAAAAATCTGAATCATATAAAATATCCAGAAAATTCTAGGCAAACCCCAATACTTAATAATTAATATTCTAGGGCCACATTAACATATATTAACTTTATCTCCATGTAATATAATTAATCACGCTAAACATAATTAAAACAACCTTTTTAAAAATTCCAGAAACTAAAAATAAAAATAAATATCCTGATAACACATACATGTGTGCATATGATTAAATCAATATATATGTAAATAATAAAAGGTGATCCTAAACATCCGGTTAATAAATTATTTTAGATTAACACTATAAAAAAAATATATATTATAATTTTGATAATCAAGATGATAGGCTTATGAGTTCTGAGAGGAATATTAGAAAAGAACTTACCTGTCTCTTCTAAATCCGGTCTCCTTTTTCTCTGATTCGGCCTCTTATTCGTTAGCCCTTCTTTTCTCTCTTTGTCTCTTTTATTTTTCTACGTGAAAACTTTTAACCCTAAAGCCTTATGTGTCTATTTATACACATAAAAAATCTAAATCATTTTCCCATTATGATTACCATATAAAATAAATAATATTTATCTTTTAAATACACACATATACTTTAATATAAATATGTATATATTACCTTCCATATATAAACATTAGTTAAATAAATTATATATATACCTATATATATGTTAATATATATATATATTGACATATATACCCCTAAACATGATTATTAATTAATTAAATTTATATACATATAATTATGTAGATATAATTATGTAGAGATAATTATTAAATATCTTCATAACCATGGACCTTTAATAATTAACCTAACAAGGCTTCCTTCAAGCCCAATACCACATCCGTTGATCCAACTTCCCTTAAACCCAATCCAAATAATTTAAATACATAAAATAATTAAATTTAATTTAATAGTTACCAATAATTAACAATAAAGTTACACAAGCATAAAATTACACAAATCAAATACACAATTCACTAATTAGTATTCCACAAATCAAACACCATATAAATTTAACAAATAAAATTACAAAATATAATTTAATTAAAACAATACAATTTATTTACGCACTTAATTAAATAAAACAAATCACAATTATCCCTGCACTTAATTAAATAAAATAAATCACAATTATCCACGCACTTAATAAAACAAATCATTTAAAAAAAGATAAAAATAAAAAAATAAAAAAAAATAATTTTAATTAATAAATCATTTTAAAATATCAGGGTATTACAGTTTGTTCCAAGTCCTTAAAACTAAATTTTAATTAATTTAAAGTCTTAATGATACCCAAAACCATCTTCCTAATCACTCTGTACAGTCCCAGAATAATCAGAATAGTTTCCATGCTCCAAACAGTAACAAACAGTTCGTAAAAAAAAAAATATATATCAGAATGTGAAATTGAAGAGAGAGCCTGCTCTAATTCTTGGGAGCAGGCTCTTTTAGCCTGGAGTTGACTCCAAGGTCCTTGGAGCCGGCTGTACATGGGTGGGAGCCGGCTCCCACTTCTATGGAGCCGGCTCTCACTTCTTCTGAGAGCTTCTGGCCTCCTTCTGCTCCGTTTCAGCTCATCCTCTCCATATCCGGCCACTCCAACCTTATTATTTTTTTTTTCTATATTGAACTTACAGATCTTAAATTACATCTAATTTTAATTTAGACCTTAGTTTTATGCAGTAAGATTCAAAACAAAATTAAAACAGTGGCCC